CGGACTACTTAAATAGGCAATCAAAAGTTGTACGTGTGGCTAGTTTGTACTCTCCAAAATATGTATACTGTACGAGCATCGTAAGGGGCTTAGCGTACGGTAAAACTTGACTAATAACTGAATAAAAGAGAATCGACCAAGAGGTCACCTTAAAACCAAAAAAAAAAATATATATATATATATTGTAAGTGTATATTTCTGAATAGCAAGTACATATAAAACTCATCCTTCTATAATATTAAAATAAAATATTAAAATAAAATATTAAAATAAAGAATTATATCATTTTGCGCATATGCGCAGTAACGCATCATTACACTGTATATAATATATATATAGAATGTCGATCATACAATAGTAAGTAAGATTGGGTTTGTTAGAGTTTGTGACTGATACTGGGAGTGATCGATGACGTTTTACGTGTAAAAGTATAGATAAATAGGGGTTCGATCAAATATGATCGAACTTCTTTTGTTTGTTTTTTGTTTGACCATTTTTCTCGTGAAACGTAATGAATATAGAAATAACAAAAAGTGGTTAGAAAAGTAATAACGGAAGGAAAAACGAATACAAATACATACCTTTAAGTGAACGTCTAACACACTGCATTATTTAATAAACTCACGTTTTTTTTCATCATATCAAGTTGCCTTGTAATTAGCTATATATTTTTTCTTTGGGCACTCGTACTTGTTTTGTGAAACATGAAAAAAAGTATAGGTAAGAATAAAAAAAGTGGTTAGAAAAGTAACAATGAAAAGAAAAGCAAATACGAAATACATACCTTTCAGTGAACATCTAACGCTCATGTTCGTGTTTTTTTTTTTGTTGTTTCTTGTTACTAGTAGTAGCGGTCAGGTATTATTTTTTTCATTAATCACTTTGCGTTGTTTGCTTGTTTGCTATATAGCAATTAATTTTTTTCACTTCGCTTTATTTTCTTTGTCACAGCAATATGCCTAAAGAAGAAGATATTAATACAAACAAACAAGTTAAGCTTAAAGAAATGTTTTCTAGAGATGATGTGCTATCTGGAAATTGTAACGTGACCAAAGAGATTAAGGCTGAAGAGGAACTTCTTCAAGACAGCAATGATAGTATAACTCAAGAGGTCGGATCTGAAGAACCTAAATTTTTTTCTAATGAGGCTGCAAATTCTGACTTGTTTAGTAGAAAAATTTTTTCAACATGGGAAAAATGTGATCTATTTCTAAATGAATGGTAAAAAAAAAATGGCTTTCATATAAAGAAGGATTGTGTGCAACGTGATGGGGAAATTATTCGACGATGTACATATTTGTATGATCATAGTAGCTTCTATAATTCAAAATCAAAAAAGGATACAGTTACGAAAAAAACACAATGTCAATTTCTCATTAATATTTTATGCCCTAAACTTAATAATCTGAATTCTAATGTTCAAATCAATAAAGTTATTAATAAGCATAATCATCTTTTAAATGTTAAAATGATCGCTTTTGAAGAAAAAAAAGATTCTTACCTGAGATGATTGAAGATATTAAGTTCTTGACTACCCATTGTAAGTTCAGAGCAACAGTTCAAAGAAAATTTTTAGAAGGGAAGTACCCTTCACAATCTATATATTCCAAAGATTTGTACGCGGCTATTCAAAAGTTTAAACCAACTTCTGAGATGCTATTAAATGACGTAGCTTCAATGTCTAATTGGTTAGACAATAAAAAGAATGGGGATTCCTGATGGATTATTGTAAGGGGATGAGATGATAATAATTCTCTTACAAAGTTATTATGGATGATCCCTGAACAAGTCAAAAACTGGATCCGATTTTCTGATTGTGTTTTAAATGATATAAAATATAAAACCAACCGTTATGGTATGGTGTTGTCATTGTTTGTAGGATTCAGTAATTATCGGTATAATATTGTTCTTGCGCAAGCACTGCTTCCCGATGAGAGTTTAGAGTCACACATTTGGGCATTTAATGAAATACTAAAAGCAACTAATAGGCAACCTGCAGTAATGATGACCGATGCTGACCTTGTAGTTGATTCTGCAATTCATTAGGTTTTTTCTCAAGCATATCCAGTTCATTGTGCTTTCCATATAACGCAAAATATCAATAAGCATCTAAAAAAGATTCTGGGTGATAATTTTTATAAGTTCCTTGAGGCATTTTATATATGCCGAAATAGCCTTACAATTGAAGTTTTTGAAAAATGGTTTGAAAATCTTCGTCAAGATTTCCTACTGCTAGTTCTTACCTGGATATGCTTTATCGAACCAAAACTTATTGGGCGCATAGTTTTATAAGCTTCAAGTTTACTGGAGGAATGATCATGACTTCATGAGTAGAATCAGTCAATGCAAGTTTAAAATATCTCTTACATAATTCAAATGTCTCCTTATGTGAATTAATGAATGAAATTCATCGACTTCTGGATATGCAAGATAAGAAGGAGGAATACAATTTCTGGAAGCTTTCAATTCCTTGTATTAAAAATAAAGACAAGACGAACTTCTTATTTAAAACAATAGATAGATGTTTAGAAAAATTTCTCACACCTATAATGCTTCAAAGACAAAGAGACGAAATAAGCCAATCAGTTTATTACGATGCATCTATACTTCAAGATAAAGATTTAGAAGTATCTATTTAATTGTATTTGTATATGTTCTATTATAATACAGTATGTATTAACATATTTGAATTTTAAATTAGAAATGTTATACTGATGATCGTGAAGCTAAAATTTGTGACATGACAAATGTGGAAATACAACAAATTACACTAAAACAGGTTATTGATTTTGTTGAAGGGTTAACCAACATTACTGAAATATGGTCTGTTGCAGTTGGCGATGCAATGGCTGTAAAACATTACATAGTTTTATTAAAGAATTATTCACATGTTTGTACATGTCTATCTATTATTCAACAAGGCATAATTTGCAGACATTATTTTTGAATTATGCTTGCGACCAGTGCTGCAAAATTTCATATCCATTTGATTTCTTCCAGATGGTATTATAAAGACCTCGATGGCTCCAATGAACCTTTTTTTACTGCAGAAAAGTTTATCGAAGAAAATAGTACAACATTCCAATGCGAATCACTTGTGTCTATTAATTATCTATGTGCATTTCAACAAGCCAACCGAGACTTTCTTGAAGAAAGCCTTAATTCGTCTCAACAAAAAATGCTTTATGAAAAGTTACATGGAATGTATAAAAAAGCTATTCAAAAGGCATTACAAAGTAAAGTTAAGTCACAGCAGCTTATTAAACTCTTGCAAGATTATACGGAAAAGAGCAATGAAGTGTCTGAAGAAGAAACAGAAGAGGCCAAAGAAGAAAGTGATGATGATAAAGAAAGCAATAATGATAAAAAAAATCAAATGCCTGCATTGTTAAATCTGAAAAAAAGACGTAGAAAAGGTTGACCGATTGGGAGTAAACATTTAAAATTGTCGCATGAATTGAATAACAAGAAAAAGCAACAGAGGCACTGCAAGAAATGTGGCGGTGTGGGTTATTATCAAAAAAAATGTAGTAAAATGTAGATTTATTATATAGATCATATATACGTACGTACATACTTGTAATTAACTGTCTGCCTAATTCAGTAATTTATCTGAGTAGAAATATTTAAATGCTAATAATAGATATTATATATGTAAATACTCGAAGAATTAATATCATGAACAAAATTGCTTAAATAATGCCCAAGACCGATTTAAGTACTTATTATTAGCTTGTACAGTACATAATCTATTTAAATACGACATTCCTGTGTTTTCATTTCTTTTCATATACGTACAGTAAGATCTGAACCAAATACATTAAGGACAAATAATCTTTATTGATAGAAAATTATGAAGTATGATAACTGCGATAAAGAAACTAAATTGAAAAGATATGAAATATATTTAACCTTGGGAATAGACTATAGTTTAACTTCTATCCTAAACTTGCAATTTAGAGTTTTGAACAAAACTCTTGTATTTTTCTTTGCATCTTTCAATTGTCATACTAAACAAATTACTAACTGCATTTTATATTTAATTTTTGCAGGCTGTACAGTGGTACAGATTCGGACAAAGATACGATATAAATTTTTGACAGTACGTACAGTTAACAAACCTGTAAATTTCAATTTCATAAGTATCTCCCTTTTGATGGTTAGGGTTAGGGAAGATACTAATACCTTTTTTTTGTGTTAAGATTAGATGAGTTTCTAGAAAAAAATAACTTCGTTTTGAAAGAATCTTCTCTTTACAAACTATACGTACTATCATGATTTCCACATGTCCGTCCTAATTTATATTTCCGTACTGTACTGCTTTTACTATATATTCTTCTGCAGGGGATTTAGATTACATTCTGGGTTATATAAATAGCATATATGTACGTACGTATGTACGTACGTACTAGATATAACCTGCCTCTTTGCTATAGTTTAAGTTTATACGATTTTAATTCTGTTATACGATTTTTTATGCATGGTATTCTAAATGCAACAATACATAAATCATATAACCGTCAATGATTTAAATTATATAACATAATTTCGTTGAATACAATTTATGCAATACAGTCGTTCCTCATTAATATCAACCCTGTTGATATCAACCTCTTGTTATTATCAACACATGCTATAGAACCAATTTCCACATATT